TTTGAAGTTATCTAGTTTGTACAAACTTATGGGCAGCTTTATCATGCTACTTGTTCTGAATGTTTTGATTGCATATTTCGAAACTACTCATGCTTACAAGTTGTGTTTTGACTACCTTTCATCAATTTATATTGAGGCGCAAAGAATATGAGTTCATTGTAAACAGGCTTGAGAACTGCATTTTTTTAGTTAGTTTCATATTCACATTGAGCATTCATATTGTTTCTATCAGAACTGAGTTTTTAATAGCGGCTTCTTTGGTGAATGTTTATCTTTACTTTTTTTATGAAATACAAAAAGAGGAAGTAAAAAGACTTAACAATGCTTAGTAATACATCAATAGCTTACTGAAATGTGAAGTGAGGTGTAATACTTCAAGCAAAATCATTCTTCAGCAGGTTTGGTTGTTAGCAAGTACCATTAATAAAAACAACTGCAATATTTTCATGCTTATGTATAGTATTTCGTTAGGAAATTTCAGCTTGCAACTCAAAAAGTTTCAGGAGAGTTAATGGTAAAGTGCTAATATTTCTGCCTATTTTTAATCGAGGTATTACATACTTTGTATCACTTTCTAGACACTATAGAATCATATGCCAACAGATCCACTAAAATATCCGAATTACCAACATCTGTATTTCCTTCTAAATTTCATTCAATTATGATCAGCTGTGCATGAGGAGCATTACCAGACTTTTCATGCGACTTTCGGTAGAAGTGCTACACCAGCGTACGATCTTGGTTGGTTGATTGATACACTAAGGTGAGTCCAGGGTTGTTGTTCCAGTGATGAAACTGTTAAAACTTCAATTGAACTCAAATTAGATGTTCCATCGTCGCCTAAATTCATAACTTGAAATAGAAATTTGGTAAAAAATACTTAAGCTGTGCAGCGTAAAAAGAGTAAGAAGCAATTCTTTAAGAATTCTACTTTTGCTATTCCTTGCTCCACTGCCGAGTGTCAACTCGCCATCAGTATTAAAAAGAGAGATCATATAATCAATATTAAAAAGAGAAGGAACTAGCTAGCCTCCAATTGCGAATAAATTTGAATCCAAAGCTACGGTACTTGCATTGCGGCGACATACATTCATTTCCGGCAAAAGTGCCCAGGAGTCGCCATTTAGAATCTGTAAAATGATAGTGGTTGTTTAAAAGAATTCAATGTTTCTCCGCTGGAAATCATTGTCGCTCAGGGAACAATGTAGTCGATGCTAAGCTAAGTTCTTCAGACTTCTAAATGTTTGATTCCAATGAAGAAAGGATTTACTTCAGCTGTTTCTTTAACCATCGGACCATCATGCCCCCCAACAGCGACAATACGATCCCCAACGACTGTAACACCTGCACCAGAACGCTTGGATATTAAAGTTGGTCCAGGTCGCCATCTATTCACTCGTGGTTCATAGATTTCAACTGTATCCAAACAGTTCCTAGTGTTTCCATCATAACCACCCACGGCATATACCATACCACCAAAAGCTGTGACACCAACTGATGAACGACGGACGGTCATCGATGGAAGAGGCATCCATTGACCTGCGTTTGAAATTTTTATACTAATTTTATGCTTCAAATGGAAATCAAACAAACAAGAATGTTCGAAAATTATGGTAAATTAAAAAGGATAAAAGAAACCACTGCGAGGGTCGAACGCTTCGGCAGAGCTTAGTCCCGTTGAACCATCGAAACCACCAACAGCTATTATCAACTGATCGATGACTGCCACGCCTAATGTGCTACGCCTATAATGCCTATTATTTTGGAAATGAAAAGTGCATTTACCTCTGGGAAAAATTAATTGCATATTTTCAAACAGCAAGATTTCTGAAGGTGCTACTTATTCCTATCGTCTTAGCAAGAATATATTAAGTCTATCCGGCAGTTAGTAAGTCTCAGATATTGCTGCGTGCCGAATATGAAACACCAAAAGCAAAACAGTCACAAACATTCGCCTAAAAGCTTTCCTGATAATTTGGATCACTTGACTTCATTCAGTCAATGCATCGCAATATTTTTGAAGATTTCGAAATATGACTATACTGTGATCATGTGAACAGGCGGGATATCATCTGAGAAAATGTATGCTGAGAGTATAAGCATTCGATATGCACCAAACCCTCTTAATCAATTATGTATACAAATACCTTGCATCCATCGGAGGTCCAGCAAACCATCTATCAGTGTGCACATCATAGACATCTACAGACTTTACGCGTAGCGACCCGTTAAATCCACCAACCGCATAAACGAAATCTTTCAATTCCCCGACACCGCAACGACAGCGACGTTGGGGCAAAGCACTTACTACAACATTAAAATATTATCGAAGTCAAATTCATTGCATCGTTTGATTAAAGTTCCTCGCGCTTTTATCTTCTCTAATCTTTGAACTTACGTGATATCCATCGTAAGGCATCCAAATCGAATACATCAACATTGGCGATAGCTTTAGGCGCTTGACCACCGATGAGCATTATAAGCTAAAATGGTCACTTACTATCATTATTGTCCCATTTTAAGCAAAATATATTATTACGCGAATCAAATTTTATTTATGATATGTTAATACCTTCGACAATGGAATCGGCTGCCTCGGGCGGTTACGTTCATTTTCTTCATCGCGCCCCTCTTTTAAGTGATAACGGTAAGCTTCCAGAAGATAATCCTTGCATTCTGAATTCTGTCGAACCAAAGCATCAGGATCAACCTTTTAAAAATTCCTTAAGAAAACAAACACCAAAAATATGATGAGCAAATATAATTTAACGCCACAAAACTTCAATACAGTACTTGACACTTACTGCATGGAATAGAAAAAATCGTTTACAGCCCGACTTTTATCAAACCAATCTGTTCGGTTCAATTTTCTGAATTGCTGGGCTAGTGCCCACAATAACATAGTGAGAACAAGACGCTCTTTTTTTAAAAATTTTTTCGTAAAAGTTTTAAAAATTAGTAAATAATAACTTTATCAGTTAAATAGTCACGCGACAGCAAAGACAAACGAACATGCGCCAAAAGCTCTGGAAATGCATCTCTGCGATTCAAGAGATCATGCATTACCCATCGTATAACTGCTTCATAAACCTGAAATCTTTATCATTGTTATGAAAGCAATTTTCGACTTAATTTTTGACTTAACAAATTTATTTGATAAAACTAAACTAGTTTAATTTCCTAACAAATACTATAACTATGGCTAATCGAGAAATTGTCCTCCTATCCTGGAACATCGAAATATGAAAAAAAAGAAACTGTCCTCCCGTCCTGGAACATCGAAATGTGGAAATGTTATCCCATTACCTAAGATATTTTTTCATTTACGCTCTTTCGCAAACCTTGTCTTCACCAGTAGTTGTTAGGTGATCTGATGAGATTATTTCGATCACTTGATCTTTGTTAAGTGCCAAAAATTCGCCACATTTCACCACGTGACTATAAGACGAATATGTGAAATTTAAACAAAGAATTTTCGTAAAGTTGAAAGAGCAACTTTGCTTTCAGCTGCTCATCCGAGACAAAAACAATAACTGAAAACTGTTTAAAGAGATATATAACAGACTTGAAATGTTGTTGAACAAATGTCGTAGCAGCATGTGAAAGCTGTGTACAACAATGCGCCACAGCAAAATTTGCAATACCAAGACAATTGGATGGATCTAATTGCTCCAGAAGGAATCTGGAGCACGCATCACGCACACATGTCATCTGTAAACAAAAGCCATAAATTAAAGATTATGAAGAAAAATCAAATCTGAAAACCAAACACACTAATAGCAATTTCATATATGCATAGAGAATTTATCTATATGGACAATGAAGAAGAATATAACATGTAAGTCGCTTTAAGGATAAAAAAATAAACTACTGCTCAAATCAATTTCAATAAAAATACTATGTGTTAAACAATGAATTCATTATGTGGGGTAAGAGCATAGCAAACTATCGAAATGAAAATTGCAATCTAAGCACAAGATAAACTCATTTAAGCAAGAATAATAAATTCATCTGAGCACATAAAAATTACATCTAAGAACAAAATAAAAATTCCTATAATGGAAAGATGAACCTGAAGCTGTGATGCGGTTGTCAGAAGACTTTGTACATTTTGCTCACTGATTGTCAGTCGACCAGAATACATGAAGTCAGTTAGTGCAATCAATGATGTTCCATCGATTCCCTTCAATTGAAGCGAATTCAAGAAAAAGTCTTCGATTGAACAAATCATATAAATAATACAAATATGACTTTATTGAAAATATTGGTATACAAGTGCGAGAGATGATCCTTACTCAAAGATTAATAGCAGCAAAAATAAGGGCATTTTTCCCCTATGTTAATCTTTAAATAGGCAAGTAACCTTCAAAAATATATTTTGTTGTTTTGATTCCTTCATTGCACTTTTAAACATTGCACTAAAATATGGACATGCTGCAGCAAGTACAGCTCGATGGGCAACAATTCTAACATCCCGACTCCCATCACTTTCCGCGCCATCTTCTGGCTTCAGTGATGCTGCCAAAATTACATCACAGAAGCGTTCATCTCTGCAACATATTAAGAATGGAAGTAAAACTCTACGGAAAATGAACAATTATGATTGCTGATTGTTATACAAGTGGAACGACCAACATTAACGTTTATTGTCATCAGCCTCCTCGCTTAAAACAGAAGAAACTGATTATATGTTCAAAAGTAGTTGAGTTTCTGGGACTTCTTTATATATTTTTTGTTTAGGTAGACTCACATGCAAATGTTGAAAATAAGAAATTCTTGAAAAGCTTGCTATAAGAGAATAAAAAACAAATATAACTGTCGGAAAGCGTTGAGGTTACTCAACACGCTCGGTGGGAAATTATCATTATTGTAAATTTGTTCATTGTTGATATGTCGAGCTGAGGATGATGGAGAAGTACAGAAATGAGTTTCACTCTCCAAAGTACCGATTACTACTTCGGTTGATTCGCTTTCTGCCCTCCAACGCTCCATCTTGCTATTCAATTATACTGTACAAGATCCAACAGCTCGACTCTGAATGATTCCAGTAACTCCAAAACAAATAATTCCCCAGAGCGTGACAAACGACAAAACTACAATATCAATACCACCCATCATCCATCACCATTTTCTCTTTTCTGAAAAGCCATTTACACTTCCACCAACTATTCTACCGCGGATTTCAAACTGGAATAAATGCGAATGTTTGCCATGCCTACGAATGCAGAAAACATGGCAGGAAGCAGCCTAGCCATTAATCCTGAAGGGAAGGAAAACAAGAACCACTAGCTCGCAAGCCCTAAAAATCAAAGCAATCTACAACCTCACCGCTATGCCCGAATGACGAACACCCGGAGAAACTTAGGCCATGTAATATACGTCAAATACTTAAGTTGGCTCAGACATCCAAGGAAATAAACCCACATGGACGCATCTCGAGTGGAAACCGCGAAGTCAGAGCATTATCAATCATCGCCAACATTCGCGAACCCCAACCTAGCACGGGGTTCGTAAAAGAACCACACCTACTGTCATATTCCACCATCTATGTGAACTCCAAGTGGTTTCGTAACCACTCTATAACAACATACACACGCAGACATAGAGACGGTTGTCTCTTCCTGCAACAGCTCTGCAACACCTCGGAATGATATTTCGGAATGATGCGTCTAGAATAACTTTATCACTACGGTACATGTATATCAATCACTAAGTTGCAGTCTCCATAAAGCGTTTCACATGCTTTATTCAAAGATCTTGGTAAATAGTGAAAAGATATATTGCAGCATTGTAATAATCACTTTATGATTCCTGGAAGCTTTGCGATTTATTTATAACTGCAATGGAATTAAGAAGCAAAATGCAACATAACTAAAGATTTTAAAATTTTAATAAGTGAAATTCTTCATGATATGTTGTCAGAAAAGTTGAGACGATCTTGCGAGAGATGAAAGAGTTAGAATTTATGGAGTGAAATTATTGGAAGAATTCGAAAAACAGTAAGGAGCCACCGAATTGGGCCAAATTTTTATATAATTTTATTCTAGAAATATCTACATTGTAGCGAAATTAATGTTTTAGACTCCAGTAGGATAATGAAGTGCTTTATGGTTTAATAAATTGGCCTTGAAGTAGAAAGAATTAGAATAATTTGACGTAGCCAGTATTGATTATCTTCCGTCTCTTTAAGTATAAGAAAACTTTGCAATGTTTTCGAATGTATCCATATTACAACAGTAAGAAATATGAAATGTACACCACAATTTACAGAAATATTATTCGTCACTGAACAATAGTCCATTCACAATTGACAATTCGAATTTTAAAGAAAGTAATGGCTAGGCGACAGGGATGAAATATAGCAAATAAACTTTATTTATTTAATAATGTGTAAATCACTGAGAACTTTGGTAACCTGCCCAGTTAACTGCTCAGCATATCGATCCATTGTTGTATCATCTATAGTAACATGTTCTAATTGTTCACACTGTTTTCCCGATTCGATCGGACATTTAGCTTTGTAGTGCAATTTAATGGCCATATCTGGTTCAGCGTATAACGTCTTGGCTACATCAGCATGCTGACGATGTAATGCAAAATGATTGAATACAGTAGTAACCGTGTTCGTACTGAAAAAATACCTGCCATAATCAAATTACAAATATTTGACTTATATGATGTGTTTTTTTTTTTACCAAATACTAATAAGCAAGATATGAAATTCTGCTTCTGATCTTTGGCATTCATATAGACTCAAATTGTCAAGAATTTAGGCAATTAACTAACATACTGAGAAATAATATTCTACATAGAAAGAATGAAAAGAGGAACAAAATAATTGCATTTCAATCTGAACGTTAATACGTTAAATTCAATCTGAAGTAATGGACGTTAAATTCAATCTGAAGTAATGTTTGGCAAAATTAAGCAGATTGAATTGAGTCAGTATGCCTGTGAAGTTCTTTGAACAGGCATTTGAAGACTGTTTCCTTAAAGAATATTACATAGATGTAGTCAAGGGAAAATGAGCAAGTCAGTAGAGTTCAATGTTGTAATTATCAATTCATAAACTTAGATTTAAAAGTACTTGATGAAAGCTTTTCCGTATTCACCCGGTTTGCTCAGTGTTTCTGATTTACGTCTATTCCGCAGCATATACATATAAGATGGAACAACCAGATTCCACGAGTTGGTATCGGATGGAAATTTGAAAACATTTCGAATAGAAATTGAGGTGACTTCAGTCATTTTTAAATTTTTGTTATGAAAGGTAGTAATGATATCATCCAACATAGCACTCCAGTTGTCATGCTTCAATGGTATGACGACTTCATCGATATCCAGCATAAGAACAAACTTGTGAGTGTAGATATGCCTTAAGAAGCAAATTGAATTTAATCAATATGCGTACTTAATATGTTAAACAAACAGTAACCACAGTAAATCTGTTCTTTAATAAAACTACTATAGTAACTCTGTTCTAAAACAAGAACTGTGAGAAATAACTTGATTAATTTTAATCTTCATACTCGAAATTTCATTTCGATTGACTCAACATAAGTACCTGTATAGACAATCATTATATGGAATTAACTCGTGACGACGCTTCTGTTGCCTATTTCTCCGAATGAAATGACTTCTGATGTATGCTTGATTTGGAGACTCGCCGGGAAGATTAATTGGTATCTAAGTGATGGGAACGATGATGATATCTTACATAAGATTTGCTGATTAGATTTTCAGTTAAAATCGTTGAACAATTTAATCATCTTAGATCAAAATCAAATTTTGAGGTTAATCCCATTTAAACTTTATTGCTATCGCGCAAATTCTTCCCTATCTCATTTTACCAACATTTGAATATATATAAGATATAGATGGTACCACAGTGACAGATCCTTGCTTAATGTAATAATTTAAGACTTCTTGCATTTTACGTGGCACAGAATAAGTATATACTGTGATCGTATCAGCACCAGTGATAAATTGCATCTCGATCCATTCAACCAAACGTTCTGACATATCCTCAATGTAGTCTAAGCCCTATAAATCCGGGATATTAAGTATTATTTTTGGTTTTTTGTAACAATAGCATTTTTATAATATGTTAGTAAGTCCATCACTAAGTCGATCTTTTTTTATAATGATTTGACTCGATGGCAAAGTTCGAAGGATGGATCAAATTAAACAAATTACTCGAACTGATGAATAATTAGAAAGTTCAGAATTTCACCTTAACGCTCAGAAATTCAAAATTTCACCTTCACGCATACAGCAATTCCACTTTTCTCTTGTCTTGACGGTGGCATTTGTACTCGTGACGAAATTTTCTGACTTTTACATGGTGTTTTACTCAGTGAAATCGTCAGATTTGTTCTATGTTCGAAATATTTCGGCACAGGACAACTAATCAGGTTTGGAATGTAGAAAAAATCTCGTGGATCCCAAGCTCGTTGCCAAATTTCACGAATCGTCCCCTCGATAACAATATGTTTTTCGTAAACCATATCATATAGGTTACAGAATATTTTATCTGTTGACGGAATGGATCGAAATGACATAGTCAACATCTAAAAAAATAAGGATTATAAATAAGGAAATCTTGATGGTAATGATTCATTCAGCATTTACCTGTTTGCCTGATTAATTTTAGGAGAGGCAGATCTGGTTGAAATGATTTGAAAAGGTCAACGAAAGAAGTGAAAATTCTCTATCTTTCCTCATTGTTTACTTCAGTTGTCCTGGTATTTTTAGACAGGCAAAACCATCCACCTGTATAACATGATTGTCCGGGTAAAGTGAACTAAGTCGCCGATCATATGTTGCTGAATATACATAGAGATCATCGTTTTGGAACCAGTCGTTTTCTCTCACCGCTGTGGGCATTTTCAGATGGCAACGCCACCAATATTCCCTTACTTTTTTTGCCTAAAAATGAAAAAAATATATAATATAATGGACGAAGAGATGTTTCTGCTATTCAACAAAGCTTTAAGATGAGGGGAATAGTGAGAGATTTCGAAAAGAGTTTAATCTAAGAAGCTTCAAGAAAGATGATAAAATCAGTGCAGTTATTTCTCCCCGGCAGAATCACAGAAGCAGTCTAGTTAAACTTTAAAAAAATTACTTCTTCAACTACTGGTCGAATTTCAGCCTTGCCAATTTTAAGATCATACATATACTGCATTGTTTCCAATGCGTAATCCATATCATCAGTGAAACTTCTTCCTTCATCATTTTCATCATTATTATTACCATTTTTTGTTTGATATAGTTCAATTTTGGAATTCTTCAGATAAATACGCAATTGAACGAAACTAATCTTTAGAAGTATTAGCAAGCATGAAATGTATGCAAGTCGTATTCGTGAATTCCAAAAGTTATACATCATTATAAATCAGGTAATGGAATGTTACAAGATGAATAATGAACGGTTCGATCATGAATTTTTCGCTCATAACCGTTGCTGTTTTCCTGTTCGATACATTGAATGTACATCCGATGAATCGTGTTTAATTGAAAAAGAAGCAATATCTGCAAGATAAACTGAAGCAATCAAAAGTTATATAAGCAACTTTAACCTCTAATCTCTTCTACTGATCACCTCATATTTCTCACAGACAGTTATTCTATAATTGGAGATCATATCATATCAACTATTACTAGTCAGAGATAAGTGCTTGAGAAAGAGAGAGAGAAAATAATAAAAACACAATAACGTAAATTGGGAATGAAATTAAAGAATAAAAATAATCTCAGAAATGAATTTGAAAACACTGAAAGGGTCTTTATTATAATTATCAGTCTAATTATCAAGAAAAAAGTTTGAAATACAAGATAAAGTAAAAAACAACAAACAGTTAAAAGTAACGCCTTGGCCCGATTAAATAACTATCACTCCCAACTTTCTATCAAAATTTCATATCAAAGAAATCAATAAATTACTTGCAGTAACAAAAACAGAGTGGAATATTGAGATGGTCTATCTCGAAATAATGACAATGTTATCTATCAATTCTCTTACATTGTTTTTCTTTAAAAAATCAGAGATAAGACATTTATAAACCTTGAACGGCGTGAAATGTAGCTGAATAGTTTTCAAACTTTTTCCTGAAATGGGAAAGAAGACGAATCGATAAGAGAATAAACAGGTAAGTTCAAAGGCATCGCAATACACGTTGATTAATAAATTCAAAATGCTTGAAAATGAGTTATAAAGAATACAAAAGGCGAAAGGAATGTTGTCATAAGTGCAAATAAGCATATTAATTAATAGAAACATAGGAATTTCCGTACGTTCACATAAGTGTGGTCGGATATGACATAGATGTTATGAAGCATTAACGATAATTGATCATTTGTTCAGTAATATCAGCTAGATTGATAATAATCACAATTTTGCAGTTAGTGTTTCAAGATTGTTGCTATAATTTCAAAAACCCTACAATCGACTGTTGCATAAATTTTTCTCTCGTAAAATCCACTACTAGTTACAAAAGCAAATTTTGACATCAATTATTTCTGAATAATCAGTAATCAATAATAAGTTGTTAATGAGTAATGATGTGTAACAAACTGTTTTACTTACATATACCATTGGGACAGTCTCAAAAAAAAGCAAACGTATAAACTTCCAATTTTCCATTAAAAGAAATAGAGCAAAGAAAGAAAGATAAGAGCTATATTTGAAGGATCATATCAAATTTCACAAATTAAACGGTTAAATTTAGGTAAACATTTATGATACTATTCTATTCAAGTGGCATATTCGTAATACATTCAAATTAATAGATTTATCCTTAATATTTAATTAAGATTTGGAATTCTTGTTTTCATCTAAAATCTTGAATATCTAAAATTTTATTCTCGAAAAATGAAATTTTTGCTTTTCTGACTACTTTTTCAAAAGTTCTTGTTTACATTTTATATCTAACATTTTTATAATCCCTAATTTTGAATTTTGAATTTAATTTGATAACTTGTTGAAATTCAAAGAAAGAATGATTGCAATGCTCCAAATTATCAGAACATTATCAGAGCAAGTAAATTGTAGAATTTTAAAATACTTCATCTTAAAAAATATTCTACTTCGCTACTTTTTGTAGTGATTAATTATCGACTTATCAGTAACTTCGAGTACATCTTAATCACAGGACATTCTATTAAATTGCGATAATATCATTTCAGAATAAATATCTTCGATTTGTTATGGTATATTATTAAACTTCCGTTCAATACAGTCATATTGAATGTTATTTCATTGATTTCCCATAGGTTTTATCTTTTGGTTTTTATCTTTTGGTAACACATTTCAAAATACGAAATGGATTGGAATGTAAGGTAAATGGAACTTAACATGATAAACATCATTTAGCAATTAATTTTAATAATACTGCATATGAGATAGATGATAAGCAAAGTGATAAATATGTGCATCACACAAAATATACCATTATTAATCGTTTCAAATATCACGTCGGAATCATCAATTAACAGCTACTTGCTATCTAACGTGGATGGTTTTTGCGTACGTATAAGACGTTATACTAACAATAATTACTCAAACTTATGTTGAAATACGATTATGCCAGGTATAATGCAAAAAGCATAGAGATAAACATTGGATGGCAAATACAACAATACTCCAGAAGATCTACTCTTCAATAATATATAATCGTAACCTATATAAGCGCAAAATGTGTTGAAACATATGAAATTGTCTGGTAAGAATGCTTGAATACTGATAAGCAGGAAGTTCATTGATAAAGAAGCGTAGAACTGAAGGTAGAGAAAATGGAAGAACGACTGATCAGGGAATGAATATAAGAAGGTTGAATTATTTGAAATGAGAAAATGCGAAAGGGATTATTATAAGTTTTCTGTTCAAAAAGTTAATCATAAACTGATCACACATTTTTCATTTTGACCATAGACTGACCATAAACCACTGACCCACTGATTTTAGAGCAAATTTCTCATTTGTTCTTTCGTTATACGCAGTGTTCATGCAGAATACGTGCGACCACGTCAACGCGTTACATATCCGGAGAGACATGTGCTGTCATTTATTAAGCTGTTCAGTATCCCATAGTAAACATATGAAAGCAGAAGGGTATCTATCGATCATGCCCAACATATCAGAGAAAATCGGATGATAGATATGATATTTGAAGAGGTATTATTAATACAGTGAAGTGAGCTAATATAGTGATACCTTTGCTCAAATACTATCGAAAAATGCAATTTTAGCAACAAAAATTCCGATTAAATGAAAGCAGTAAAGAATGGAAAGAGTGATACCATTAGTATATTTTTAGCAACTCCGACAAGAGCCATTTGCTCATCAAATTATTTCAATATTGCGCACATACGTACGTATCTCTGGCCTTCCTCGACTAAAAGACATTTTTCCCTGTCTTTGAAAAGAAATTCAGTACACCGAACATGAATGACCTAACTTTGAAATGAAATTTATTTCAAAGAATGCGGAATATTAAGGAGTGTAAAGAATAATTAGTGCATGGTTGATGCCACCATCGATCTGTCCACCTTCACCTATCCTCATATTTAGTAGCTATTGTTTCTTGTGTAATCTATGTAACTTTATGAAATTCATTGTACGGTTATAGGGATATTCAGATACCCTCAAATTGTCCAGTAATCCATTATTTATTCATAGCTTTATCTGAGTCATGCGGAAATGTATACGCGTAGGTTTATATCGATAGATCTGTGTGCATTTGGTCTGTACGAATCAGCAGTAGGCCAAAGGATTTAATAGATGAAACGCAAGAGTTCACGTAAATTACATGAGAAACGCAAGATCTAGGTAGTGAAGCTACCTCAGCGCACTGAATCATTCTCATCTAGCCCATTTGCTTGGAAATTCCAAGAATTATCTCTGATAAAATTGCAATCCATGTTTACCTCAATTTTCCCACTTGACCGACCGACGATTCAGAAGACCATTATTGATTTATAAAGCATGTTATAGCATTAGTTCTTCTTTTATCAATTATTATCAAATATAGTCTTTCTTATTTTTACTTATTCATTTAAGTTGTCTTTTAAAGTAAAATATTAATCGCAATCAAACGATTGATCTTCCTTTAAAACAACAAATGTCTCCACGGCATCTTTATAATCTTTCATTTCATCAGCATGCATTGGATGTCCCTTTAATTGATACTGTAAAGAAAATTAAGGTTTAATTTTTAACGAGTATATAAGTGCACATACTTCTCACCTCCTTTTTTTACCTCAATAATAATCATCTATACTGATTTTAGGAAGATTGAATAATTTGATATCTCAGTTAATCAAATAAGAGAAATTGAATGAAAAATGAGCACTTAAACAAATTTTAACGTTTAACCTTAAGATATTGCCAAAATCCGATCGTGGAACGACGCAATTGGCATTGTACTTGTGTGGCTTTCCAATGACGCAGAGCGATTGTGACATCCTGTTAAATTTCTATCACTAATAGTTCAAAGATTTTCATTTATAATTGATATTAAAAGCTCTTCATGATAATTAGTTCTGAAATTATTTGATTCAAAACTTTTGGATTCTCATAATTCAGGGAAACTTGCAATGCTTGGATAAATTATTTTAATATAAATTTAAAATCCTCCAATTATTTCTAAATTTGTTATTTCTAAGTTATTATTTATTAGTAAATTTGGAAAGTAGAAAATATGCTTTTCATGATTCATAACTGTTCAAATTAGTTGATTTCAATAAACTTGAAATTGTGCATGAATATTTGCAAAATTTTTAAAAATAAAATAAATGCATGAAGTATAGAAATAGGCACAGCTACAGATTACTGCATTGTGGGGGAGAACTAGCAGTTTTCATCTATTAATTCCGCCATTCGTTAGTAAAATTCTAATTCTGTAAGGGTAATATTTAGTCTTACATAATTCTTTTTTATCAAAAATAATTTATCACTTCATAGTATTGTTTATTTTCATCTTCCCATTGATCATAATCTGGTGGTGGTTTATTTCGGCGTCTTTTATTGTGTCCAGTGCTTATCCACTGAATATGCTACGATAATTAATTGAATAAATTATGAATAAAATAGATGTATACTTGAGCTTTGTTAATGTATCAAATGGAATATCTCAGGAATCAAATGGAATGTCTCAGGAAAACAATTAAAAATAAACGAAATAGAAGAAAAATACGAATTAATGACAAATAACATTAGTTTCCTTTAAATTTTTAATATTTTAAAATAAGCTATACATGATAATTAAAGATTTATTGAAACTAAATTATATTAAGCTATTAATTAATCATAAAAATAGTTCTAATCTAGTATTATGCGTATCTTTCGTCTTTAGGAAAAATGCCAACGTTCTTTTTGGCTGAAGAACTTCCATTTCTTATTCATTCTTTTCTACCAGTTATTTCCTCATTTCCATCTCTACGTTTCTATTGACACTTTTCTTGCAAAATACTCCGTTCATCATTATGAGATAAGAAAAAAAATTGTTGTGATTTTGGATAGGTAAAACGTCAATCATGTTGAAAGTATGACATTTGAATTTTTGCATCATTCGTCGTTTCTAAGATAACTCAGTATCACTTATGATTTTTATAAGATTTCAACGAGAACATAGAAATGAATTTTTCCTGCACCTTGTCTGTTGATTTTTTATCATTTTTCATCATTCACTAAATGAAAGAATTTCCGACTACGACCGCCTTCCAGATTTTTCAAAAATGATCAGTGTGAGAAAAGCTATCATTTAACATTTTATATAATTAATTAATCTCTTACCATATAATTTCTGTTTTAGAATATTTACATTGAACTTAAGCAATCGAGATTTTAAATTACCATTTTCAATTTCAAATCATGATTGATATCACCAAAATTCACTAAGATTGGTTGCTTATGGCAGAGATAGAGGCGATTGGAGTTACAAGACTTAAAAAAGTATTTCTTTTCTTGGTTGAAAGAGAAAGCTTTTCCCAAATGGGTTAACGTTAGTTTGTTTAGACTTAAGTCTGTATTTCTCAAAAACTCAGGAACTATCCGATATTCAAGAGATAAAATTCAAACTCTATAAATTAGAGGATGCTGGAAGAAGCAGTCCGAATAAGTGGTTGGTATCACTGCTACCGGTAAGATACTTTAAACTTCCATTTCCTTATTCAGCTGAATAAGCTTTAAGCAAATTTATATGGAACATTTCATGAAAGAAGCTATTCTAAATAACATTATTTTTGGGCTTTTCATCTCTGCTATTCATAACACACAATTCTTCAATTTCTAACATCTATGTTTTTCAAATAGGATCGATGGCCATACAATGTCGGTGGTTACAAAGTAGAAATCGAATTCCCTAAGGAATATCCATTTAAGCCACCGAAAATCAAATTCCTTACCAAGATTTACCATCCTAATGTTAGCGAAACAGGAGAGGTATATTTTCCACAAACATCACTATTTAAATAACTCCGGATCTAAATCTTATGAAGAAAGAATTCAGCGGGAAGAAAACTCCATAGTTGTTAATAGATAACTGCTAAAGGATATCTTTTACCAGGTATCGTTGGCTATGGCACTCAATGAGAACTGGAAACCATCCGTCAAGATTGATCAACGTTAGTTAATCACTTTTTAACATCATAGTTATTTCAACTATGGGAATTATAGAAATTATGCCACCTAAAATGAACTGGTCACTTTCCGCAAACCTCACGGCGGTATGGCGTCAATCACACGAACCGTAACACGAAACCGTTCGTTTCTGATTAATTGTGAAGGACAGATAAAATACTATTACTAGTGAAGGATAGAAATGGTATCATCCTGACACACTTTCTATTCGCACAACTTCTGAAATGAAATTAGTCCCAACAGAACATCCAATTCCACCTAATGGGCATAAACTTTCTGGCGATACATTTACTTTCCAGTGTTAACTGCGCTCGCAGAATTACTCTGTTCGCCACAACTTGGTTGTGCACTTCGTCCTGAATTAGCTGAACAATACATCAAAGATGTTGATGCGTACAATAGAAATGCATCAGAATTCTGTAAACATTACGCTGAAAAACAAACTCAATGTTAAACCGAAGTTGTTCTTTATACTACGAAAATCGTAAAACAATTATTTCCGAAACTTAACCACAAATAAATTTTGAATTCGGCCCATGCCACAATAAATTTGATGATACATAGTTAAAGACAAATGACATAATAATGAGAAGTGCAGTTTGAACGAGGAACTTACAAATTACTTTTGCTAATAAGTGTCCGGATCAATGCTTACATAGCACTTTGGAGAAATTATGCAATATAAAATCAGTATACAGTCAAGTCCGGCAAAAAATTTAGGCGGTTCTCGGTTTGAAAAAACCAAAACCACGAAATCAGAAGTTGTGGTACCACTCAAAAAAATAAGCCGTTTTATACAGAACTTTGTCCCAAATATTTGGAACTAAGAACCATAGAGTCTATGGGGAGAGAAATATTTTATACAGACATATGCCCTCAGAAGAAACACTTGGAACCAAAACATATGTGAACTTAGCGAATAATCAAAAAACAATGCCAGTAAATCAAATTTAAAACTGTCTTCGGTGATACATATCCGGGTCATAATAACTCGTTACCACTGTTCGATTTGCAAATTTACGTCCTGTAAGTGCTGCCTGAGCTTTTTGACATTCCTGCTTGCTGTTAAATTCCACAAAAACCTTTAAAAAAGCGAAAATGATTTTAAACATTATAATATCGAACCAGCAATGACTTAACTGATACAAGCTCTACTTTTCAAATACGGATGTAAATATAATGAGAAACTAAGTAATAATGCATAAACACAACTAAATTATGACATTTCATCAAAAGCGATAATCCTGCGAAATTCAGAAAAGATCTGAAAAACTCACTTTCCCAACACCAGTAACATCTACTCCTGGGACCGAACGCGGTATTTCTAGCGATTTCACGATACCATACTTCGCACATTCCTCCCGAATATCTTCAAGAATGTCTGGAACCAAATTAAATTTCAATTAACATAGGAATATCAGAATACAAAAGAAACATCCAAATTTACTTCACAATAAGCATCAGCATCGAGTGGAAATCAGGTGACATCAGTTATCTTGAACAATGAGAAACCAAATATACCTTCATACTCTTCATCATCCTTCAATTCATCTCCGGTAACCATATTCATTAAACATAGTACTTCAGTTGGTGGTCCAGCACCATGCGATAAGTCTATACCAGCCACTTGAATTTGCGGGAATGTGTTCTGTGTCACGTTATTCCTGGCGTTAGCACAAGAAAGCTGCACAACAAGATTTTTGTCTCCAAGCTGCATACCATTTAAACCAGCGATAGCCTAAAAAACATCTTGATGCTTTGTTTTACTTCTTTAAGAAAATTATACTTTTCATTACCGCACTAGCTTGCACTTCCACAACTAGTTTATAATTGTAGATCTTTTTTTATATATATGTAAAACCATGGGGAGGTTTTTCCTGCCGTTTAACACTACAAGAGCATTTAATGTTTCATGTTTTGCACCAAAAAGAGCGAAAATCGGAATAAAATTTATGTATTTGTATCATAACTGAATAAAAAGCTGCATTGAACAATCAGAAATCATGGTGAGCTATAAATCAGACCTGATCTGTTAAAGACGGATCCAAATATTCCGCAAATGCGTAGCCTTTCGAAACACCGGTAGATTGTTCAGTCACTAAATTAAACGCCTTCAACTGCCCGAAGGAAGATAAAAGTTCTTTCACCTGAAAAGTTTTACTTAAAACCATGCTGCCTCGGATCTCTCAAGATATCCTGATGTGTATACCTAAAACTCTTAGCAGTGTGATTTCTCCTAACCCATAAAATGTGATGTAAGTCTGTTACTGCTTTGGTGGGGTACAATTTTGGTTTTTTACTCAAGCATTAAATAGTTAAAACGGCTTACTCGGACCAGTTGCTAATCACCAATTTCACCATTACTCTAAAAATCTGAAATTCTGAAAAACAAGCACAGTTGCTTGCTGAATAGCTCCCAATTTTTTGCAATTTGGATTTGATATAGAAAAAAAATAGAAGTCCCCCAGTGACATCACTTTCCTAAGAGACTGATTAAAAAGAGATTTTGAGTTTTATAGGAGGTTTCAGCGTATGCCAACCCGTTATATGCATGTTTTCTCGACCTCGACCCTGAAAACCTAAAAATGGGAAATGCGGGGATAATGGCTTGTATGATGTGTTGTAACAATTTCTCCATTATCCGACTCAGTTGGATCACGAATAACAGTGTAAACAGAGCGCATCTCGTGACTGACGGCCACTGAAAAAATGTGGCCGAATTAGTCAAGCACTAAAGCTCGTAAAAATTTAAAAAAATTTGGCACATGACAGGTGTGTCGATGGATGTGCCAAGCAGTCGCCACCAATGAGATGTAAGCACGGAAAAGATTTTGGAGAAGTCTTTCTAGGAGGCAAGTTGACTCAACACAAGAAAGCACTGAGGTCGAATTTTGATCACCAAAATAAGCCCTCATCCCACATCTTACCATCAAAGGAACGCATAACAACGTGCCAACAAACCTGTTCAGCATTGAGATAACTTGGCAGACCTCCAATGAATATTTTGTGTGGACTATCGGGTACGATATTGGACACTGGAAATTATTACAAATATGATTCAGTAGCCGAAATCTTTACGGCTTAATTTACAGCTACACATAGAGCTCCTACTAAAACTGGATGCCAAATATACGACATAAATAAAAGCTCAAAAACTTCGTCATGCATGTGGTCTTAGCAAAGCAAGACGAAAGATCGATTACTTTGGTTAAATAAGTAATTTCCATTTATAATTGAAACCTTCAGAGATAAGCTGAAGCATCGATACTTTCCAATATCTTATCCATCAACTCAACTGCACATGAAAAATTGAAATGACTTAAAAACGCACCCATCATATTTCCCAAATCATAGCTGGTACTCATTGGTTGATAATCCCGTGGTCTTCGTATTTTGAGCTGCTGTCCCATAAAATTGATTCCATCGAATGCCATACCAGCTGTTGTCTCATCGATCGATCGAAATTCAATGAAAGCGAAATTCTTATCAAGATTCATCTGGCATGCTAGGACCGGATTACCTGGTGCTTGAGCTAGACCACAGAGGTGCATCTAAAAATTCTGTGCAGGTCAATAAATACTGCAATACTGATATAGCAATACATCAATAAATACTCTGATATAGCAGAGAGTTGTCTTACATGTGTTATACTTAGTCATAGTTGGTTCATTGCTGCATAATTCATATGCTTTATGTTGTAAAAAATTCGTAATATCTGGGTAAATAAACCTTGGAAGATTGAAAATAGGCGATGAAATTGTGACGAAACAGTTCTCTTTCTTATTAGAAAGTAATTTTTTAAATAATTTGCAAGCTACCTGCTGATTGAAAAAATCCAACATCGCGTCTTCACTGCAGCCAAACGGTATATTACCAACATAAAGTCGTCGTGACTGGCAGGTTACTGAAGGTCCAACAACAGGTACTGCCGATTGAACATTATTTCGCGGTATCTGACCCGCAGCTAAAATATAAAACAGATGAGAAATTCATAAAGCAGGAGTTGCAAGTGCAAAGACCATTAAACCATATTATTAACATATAATGGAAGATTAGACCTTGCAGCTCTTTGTATTCCTTTGGCGTCAAATGTTCATAGCCAACTGGTGGTACATCCCAGAACTTATACTTCTTTTTCGGTTTTTCTGGTGTACGCTCTTTGCGACTGCGACTTCGACTCCGATCACGATGATGATGCCGCCGTTCCCGTCTACAAACGATTAACAATATGTCATGAAAAATTAAACGCCCAGATTAGAACGAGCTTACCAGCTCAGCTTAGAACGACACGATTTCTCATTGCCCTAGTAAACTAAATATGAAATTCTTTCAGCCGATCTTCAGTCGCTATCTTCACTGCAATTACAAGTTATAATCGACCAATCTCAGAGATTTATTTTAGCTCACTCATTTACCAGACTTCTGATTGCTTCAAATAATGTTTTCCTGAACTTTTTAAATGAATCTTTATACCCGTGGTTGTATTGCCTCTCAAAAGATATCTAGACACATTCAGATATGTTCCGAAAACAGATCTGAAACCTTACGATCGCGATTTTCGTCGATCACGGTCTTTGCTTCGACTTTTGGTTCGACGTCGTCTTTCGCGATCTCTACTTTTACTTTTGTCACGGCTTCGTTCACGGCTGCGACGATCTTTCTTGTCTCCCTCTTTATCTTTTTCTTTTTCTTTATCCTTATCTTTCTCACCATTGTTTAATGCCATATCCTAAAACTAATATAATAAATGTAATAAAAAAGAGGGAATTCAATTTTTTTTAAAAACAAAATCCTTTTAAAACAGTTGCTCTGTTAACAATCTTTTATCGAAACGGACGAAAAATTTAGCAATTCAATAAAAAGCAACTGTTAACCCACTTTTGGTAGCATAGCGGCAATTTTGGCATCCAGTGGTGGCGCCAGCGGTCCCTCTTTGCGTTGTCGCACTTCCAAATAGGCCTTAGCAACATCTTCCAAGTTCGTTTCCATTTCTTGAAGTTGCTCGGGCTGTTGCGGGTGTTGATCAACTTCGGTCATATTATTCAATTTCCTAAGCAGGAAAGAAAAGATTAAGCCAATGTGTGAAGACCAAGCATGTAATATATTGCGGAAGCTTGATAAAAGATGCATTAGAACAGATTAGTAAAGATTTCACAAATTCTTAACTAGCAAAAGAACATTACTTCATTAAATCTCATATAGTAAGCATACACGAAACCATTAATCGATATTAGTACTGGATAACTGCGACCGGATTGAATGACAGAAAGAATAGTGTAAAGAGAAGTTCAGACAACACGAGATATTTTTAGGTGAAAGAGTCTTATCTTAACCAACCTATACTCATAAAAGATTCATACGAATAAAAATAAAATTACTGCCCCTTCCCTTCCGTTTTCCGGGCAAGTCTGCCATCAGAGAGAAATATCTCTTAGTCTCACCATACCACCACATGCACTTACTCGTTCATTCCAGTACGGTATGAAGATCAGAGATCCTTCCCTCCTTCCCAGCCAAATCATGTCGGCGCTAAATCACAAAAGCCTACCTAAACCGACCAACTCCTTCTTCCCGAATCAATCGATAGCATCGCAAGCATTCATAATAGGAACATTCATGGCGCCTCTTACAGCATAAAATCTTCTTGTTAGAGGTGTGGCTGAAGATTCTATTGAGAGGTTTAGTATCAAAACCTGATAACTCGATTAGGGAAAAAACTAGGGAATCGCTACACAGTTAATTACTACATTATCTAATACTCGTGAATTTTTCACTTCTCATATTAATGCGTGCAGTGCCGCAGAGTTTGTTACAGTTCAGTCCAACCATTCCTGATGATTTCTTTTTTCTGATGGATAATTTTAAACGGTATGATTTTTTTTCCTATCGATTTAGTCATAAGAACATTCATGATTAAGAGAATCCGGAAAATATGAATGTGAAAAATTAGAGAGAGTTGGTTTGTTAATTACAAAATTTGAATTCCAAATAACGAATAATATTTAGGTAATTATGACATCTCCTAAACGAAAGAAGATTGAAAAAAAGAAGAGTGATGATGACATAGAGGCGGTTATCAGCAAAATATTCTTGGAGGATTCTGATTTAGATATAACTACTCTTTTAAAGCTTCGAAATCACCTACAAAACTCGAAGGATGATGTTAGTATCTTCATTCTCTTGACTTTTTAGTATTGCTAAGTCCGAGGGGCTATAAATATAACTGCTAAATACGCACTCTAAATCTGGCTTTCAATGTCTCATTGCTCTGCATTTTGTTAACCCATTTTGTAGGAATTGGAAGTTCAGTCAATAAAATTGAAGATTGATCAAAAAATCATTACTCGTTTACTGTGCCAATATGATGCGATGGAATCAGAGAAAGATAAAGCAATCTTTGATATCCTTTGTATGTTGGAGAGATCATATCAGATAAGCTTAGGGTATATTATTTGGTTTTCAATTTCATACTTTGTTTTGCTTTTTAGCTTCGTTTGAATTGGATTTAATTAAAACATGCCTCAAATCTAATAGAAATGAGCACACAGAGAAAGGAATACACATGAACAAATGCATTACATAGGACAATTCAGTGTCATTTCAGACCTTTTTTTCCTATAGTATGGGGAAAGCGAGCAAAAGACAATTATGAAAAATTGCGTCAGTTGGGACAGGCTCTGCATACGAAACTCACGGCAGATCAGGTATTTTTTGTATTAATTAGAATTCCATTGATCATTTAATAATTAGAGTTCCGTAAAATTCGTAGTTCAAGTTTTTCTGCTCGTATTTTAGGTTTTGGATTATTTAAATCCAAAACTAATGTGGAATACGTTACTGAAGTCCGAACAAACAACCAGCATCAAAATACCTGAAAAGGATTCTTCGGATCAGATTTATGATGCCCGTTTCATACTTCGTTTGTTGGCAACCTTGGTAGATAACGGTACAAAGGTAGGTGTTATGCAGTATAATTCAACGCAAATATAAAGTTATGGAAGAAATGTTTTTTCTTTTCTTTCATATTCTTTTGTTGGAATCGGTGTTGCAGTTAAATAAAAATTAAAATTTTATGTATGAAATAATATCTCTAAAGGCGTTAAGAGCAATAATTTTCATTATTTTCAGATCAACAGTCGAAAATTTATTAGTGTAAATGGTCTTTCATTTGCATTTGCAGCAACGAGTTTTATTAGCCAGAGTGAGCGATGCGTTGCATACCTCGTGCTCAAACGTTTTCTACTTCACTTAACAGAGTTGGATAGAGATTCATTCCCAGAAAAGTGTTTATATATTTATCTGTTGCAAATATTCAAAAACAGTGTCGAAAATCCAATTCAACGACTGCCACATGGTTATCATCTTGTAACTCTTTAAATTCCAAATAATTTAACAAATTTGACTTAGCAATACCTTTGAATTAGAACTTCGTTTGTTTGATAAATTTCATTTGGAATTATAGTTATGTTGACAATTTAAGTCTTAAGTTTATTTTGATGTGAATGAGATGCTGCGCTGTCACATTTTAATTACATCCATACATCACGTTTTTATCTTAATTTTAATGCATATCTAAGTGCCCCACGGTAAATACTGTCTCACTTCCTGAAAATGCATCTTCATTTAGATTTTTATTTTTTTCCTTATCATTACGAAAATTTATCCGTAATACATGGTTTAGACAGAAAAATAAATTTTAAGGCTTTATAATGACCCATTGCAGTAGTTGCACATTTTTTCGCAAGAGTGACCAAACTGATTTTACATCCCGAAGACCCGGTTTACCAACCAGTACTTTCGTTCGTACTGCTTAAGCCAAATGTTGATGTTCAAAATGTTCCGGAAATTTACAAACTATTATTGAGTTCAAGTACACAGCATTACAACAAAGAGCGACATTGGTGCTTACGTCTCGTATTAGATTCACTCATTGAACCGAACGATTACAACATCTTACAAAAAAGATTTGTTTTGAATAATTTTTTAATCGTAAGAGTTCAAAAAATAGCTGTGAAGTAATTAATTCATGATATTTTGATTTTAGAAGGAAGTTGTTATCATTGTATACATAAGAGATTACACTTGGCATTTGCTGAAATAGGATAAGTGTTTTAAAATTAGATAATCATCTCAGGACAACAGGCACAGTAATACTGAGTATTACAGCTTTGTTTACTTTCATTCTTTTCTCATGTTACAAAGTTTTAAAATTAAACAATGAAAAAAGTAGACTAACAAATTTTTCTAAAAGAATGTAGTGATTTGACGGTAGAGGTGTTCCACATTACTGTGCACTGAGGAGAAAAGTGGTAGTTATTGGACTAAATTCAAGTTGTGTATGGCTGAAATTGCTTTACGGAATGGCATACTTATGCTTTATGGGCTCTGATAATCGAGAGGAGTTCGTTCATTCTTTTTCTGGCTATTTCATACACTGTATATTGTTTTTACATTAATTGGCTTTTAGATATGGGATCAAGTTATTACTATCACTTTTTGGTAGTATTATTGCTGATCAAGAAACGAAAAAATACATTTTGCTATCACTTCGGGCTATTTTGAAGCATCGATCATTAGCTAATGATTTATATGTTCGGCAAAATCTGCATTCTTGGATTGTTTTGACTCTGCAGGTGCAATGCTGTCGTCTTACCCTTTTTATCTCATTTTAAATTTTACAGTCATTTAATTTCATATCATTTTCAAACGTTTTTCTTTTTTAATAAATTTTGCCTTTAAGTTCTATCCAAAGAAGAAAAAAAAGTAAGTTAAAATGAAATTGGTTTCTGCTTGCTAAGTTTGAAAGATAATTCATCGAGTAAAAACATTTAATCCTTTTTTCTTTGCAGAATAAAGTGGTAACTAGGTGGGAATGTGTATTTTTATGCCAGTTATTTATTACGCTCATTACTCATGTTAAAGAACTTTACTGTGACAACTCAAACAATGAATCCATGGATGATAATTGGCGTAAAACTATAGTGTACAAGACATGCCAAATACTTGGAAATAAAGTTTCTTTTTTTTTCTACAAGAAACTGATAATTCCCAAATATTTCGTGAGATTAAAAAATTTTAATAAATTAGCTGTTTACTTTTGCGAACGACTTCTTTTGTGGGTTGTTTTTTCTCATGTTTTTATATTATGTAGGGATGACTAAAAATTTTATAAAGCGGTATTGTTTACTTCTTCGTAATTCTTCATGTTCACTAAGCTTTATGATTTATGAAACGATATAACCTGAGGATCTGGATTTCATCCCACATTTTAGTATACTGAAGCTTTCTCTAATATTTGGTGCAAGAGTCTAAAAGGTGATGTTCTTCTGAGTCGAGTAACTTAGCTGTGAGTTATAAGATTGGACTAGGTTTTATACACATAAGGAAATTTTTTTTACAGGTGTATGATGAACTAGAAAAAGAAAATGACGATGCGAAAAGTACGTGGTTACCGAAGCTAAAGCAACTGTTGTGCAAGGATAATTGGACGCCATCTCTGGAGTCGAGTTGTGTTGTTTAGAATTGAATCTTGCTAATGTTTTCGATTTTATTGTTGTCGTTTGAATTATTTGTCTCAATATTGTTTGCAACTATATATGTATAAATAACATTGTTATGTGAATATATGTAGCATATTCATACCTCATTTTCTTATATAAGTCATTAATTTCGGTATCGCAATGGGGACAATTAACTTAATGGTGGCAGCAACCCAATCCAGCACAGCATTAAGAAGAATTCGTCTCCCAAAGAACTGCACATTTTCATAGCGGTCGGAATTATTGGGCCATAGTATGTTGGAGCGATTTTCGATTTCAGGATAGTATTCGTGCAAAATGGTAAATTGGTTCTAGCTTTTTGTCAGGGAGTTATTGGGGTGGTGGTCGGTCAGCAGGTACCCTTCCCTTTCGTTTAGCTTTACACTTCGAAGTTATTGTTGTTTCGGCATGTAACTTTTATAAAGAGACGAGATGTGTACAGTTTGTGTTCATAATATAAAATATATTGCATTGACTTGCTGGATTATTTATGCATTGACAGATGCGATGTTCGGAGCGGTAGGCCAGGCAGTCAAGTAGTAGGATCGAGACTAAACGAGTGGGAACATAGAGGTTATTGGAGGTACTCTTCGGACGTAATAACTATTAATGAAGTATTTTCATTTGTTATGGGATTGTATATGCTTATGTTGGAGTTGCTATTGCAAACAAGACATCGGGCATATTGCTAGCAAAAATTAGGGAAAAACTAATTTTTGTAAGCAGTCGTTCGGTATTTTCGAAAGAAGTAAAGAGCGAGGGTTGTGTGCTTGTTACATGTATTCTGCTAATATATCTCACTGCACTTATCCGTTTATATTTCAAGATTTTTTAGGTTCTCTCGCACTTGCTGCCTCAAATACTCGAAGATTTATTATATTGAGTTTTTTCTTTTTTTTAGATTTTAAGTCGGGAAATCTGTACATATTTGTTACGCAATATTATGGGCAAAAAAAAGCGAAGTCAGGGGCAAAACGCGGAAGAAATTTCTCCAATACCATCCGTGAGCACTTCGGCGTTTGTTAGACAAGTTACATTTGATGAATCTTCAAAAGAACCCAGGTCATGCATTTTTCGCTCATAGCTTTTGAACGTATAAAAATATGTATATGAAATTAAGTAATGAAAGATGTTGGTCCCTTCTATATTATTTGCCGGGTAAACCTCGTCTTAATTCAATAATGAAATGCACTCAGCTTGCGTAATTCCATATCGAATCAAAAGGAATTCAAGACTTGGTAATTTTTGATCGTCAGTATTATGAGTTTCTGTGTATCCATGCTACGATTCTGGAGAATTGCAAGAGATCTGGCAGAAATATCACCATATGATTGGAAGTTATATTACATTTTAGGTGCCAAATTTATCTGTAGTAATTCTAGACACTAGAATTTTTGTATTCATGATAACGTTTAATTAGCAATCGGAGATATTACTGTAAAAAAAAGTTAATGAGTTTTCCTGTGTTTAGCGATGACACTTTATGGATTTGTTTTTGTAAGAAATAATTATATATTTGTGGAGTTTAATGAATAGATGAACTTGCAAGTGAAGGATTCACATGTTAATTTGAAATATTTCAGTAAGTTGTATTCATTCATTCATAACTTCTGGTACTCTAAGTGAATATGGAAATAGTAATTTTTATCTATCCTTTCAGTGAATATTACATAGAACCGAGCGGTAGAGGTTTAATAACAAGTCCATCTGTTGGAACATTAAATAGATTAGAACGACAAAAAATTGTTCTCTGGAAGAGGCCCTTTCAAACAATTCATTATGCGCTTCGTGAAGTATTACAATTATCAATCGAGTTCATCACTAAGTATGTTTTTTATCAAAATTCCAGAAATGAAGAAATCCTTTCTTGCTGTTCCTAGCTGAAAGGAATTAAGATGTGCTAAGGAGTATTTTAAATATAAATGAATGGAGTATGTAAATCATCAAACTTCTTCTTATCCTTTTTATGAAATGTAAAATTGCAGTTAAAATGGACAATGTTTTAGTTTTTCAAAAAGTATTTCCTTTGTGAAGTTTTTTATTCTCTGCTCTACTTTGTTCTTCAATTTTTTAGCTAGAGATTTTGGATTATTTCAAAATCATTTGAACGTCATTTTCAGCTTATGGATACACAAAGCTCGTATATTGTTCGTTTTATTATTATGTGTCGTTGGGACACACATTTGTCATACTCCCGGCGCTCACCAACGATACATTCAGAGTTGGAAAGTAAAATTATTACGATATCTCTATTGGATAGGTTTGGGTGTATTGTCATCTATTGGGCTTGGAACTGGTCTTCATACATTTATATTATATCTTGTGAGTTCGTCCTCATCCGTTAGATATGATAGAGAAACTATACAAAAAAAATCAAACTGTTTCCTATTTTTAATTTGCTTGTAACACACGTTCTCAAAACACTGCAAAAATACTTCAAACCTGCAGTATTGGTAACATTTAATGGAAGATTCATCATAAAAAACGAATTCAAGTCATTTTTCAGTTATTTTGCCAGTGTAATGATGTTTTTGAAAAATCAGAAGTTTCAGGGGCCACATATAGCTTCAGTCACAATTGCGGCTTACGAATGTAATTCGGTGGATTTCCCTGAGCCACCATATCCGGAAAGGTTCAAGCATTTAGTGATTTGTCGAAATAGAAGTAGAATTGCAGAAACTACAGCGTTTATACTGTTCTATTTCATAAAATAAGAGACCAGGACAATAGGTAGCTAGAAGGGCTGATTTTCTTTCGCTTCCAATTTTTCCAAGTAAATTTTTTTCAGAATTCTGTGTCCAAATGTGGAAGGTATCGTAGAGACTGCAATAGTGACAGTATGGTCGATAATGTCGAAAGTAGGTCGATCAGAATACAGTTTTCGGCAATAAATGAATTTTTAATGAAATTATCTGATATGTTGAAATTGTCTGATATGCTGTAATTTGTTTCAGGTACGTGTTGAAGCACTTATGTGGGGAGCTGGCACAGCACTGGGTGAATTACCACCTTACTTTATGGCGAAGGCAGCGCGAATCTCTGGTGAGGAACCAGATGATGAGGAGTACAGGTATATGTTGTTTTTCAATTGCTAGAGCGCTTTTTTATTGGCCATCATGTGAATTTCTATATATCATTTCACATTTAGGGAATTTCTGGCCTACATTAATCGAAATGGACCGAAGGCACCCACATTTACCGAAAAATGTAAAGAAGTGATGGAGAAAGCAGTCACTAGACTTGGATTCTTCGGCATTCTTTCTTTCGCTTCAGTAGGCATTTCCTGAATATTTCATTTTTTACCATCATACTGATTTGGTTTCGGTATGTATGTTATTCATTGATGCATCATCTTGCATATTTGCTAATTTTCAGAGCATCTTTTCTTTAGATTCCAAATCCATTCTTCGATTTAGCTGGTATAACATGTGGGCACTTCCTAGTTCCTTTCTGGAAGTTCTTTTTGGCAACTCTTATTGGAAAAGCTGTCTTCAAAATGCATCTTCAGGTATCTTTTTTTGGTAAAGGCTGATATCATGTGTTTTTGTTAATCATTTGGACTTCCTAACCTTTTCTGAAATTTTTTATTTTAGATGTTTTTCGTGGTGTTGGCTTTCAGTGAAAATACAGTGGAGCATCTTATAGTTCACTTGAAGTTAGTGTTTTTTCCATAAAAAATATTGATTAACTTTGTGATATTACTTGATGCTGTTTTACATATTTTAACTGATGCACATATGTGATAAAAAAAAATTCTCTCAAAATTTTTTTAAACATATGAGATAGTTTTCAGAGCGATTCCAGTGTTTGGTGTGCAACTTCATCAGAAATTAATGGAGTATTTAGCGTTTCAGAAAATCAAGCTCCATAAAGGTGGAGTCATGCATGTTGAGGTAAGTATCTGGCAGTTTGTTCACTAAGCATGCAGAAAAAAAGTAAATAGTTTGTAGAAATTGTCTGAAATTGATCAGATGCACGCTTGGACCAAAATGAATGCATAGTAGTTTCTGTAGTCGAGCGATGTGAGGAATGCTAAAAGTAGATTCAACATATATAAAAATTTTGCCAGTTTGGTCGTATTTTAGGACAGCACCATGCTTCAGAAAGGTGCTTCATTCATTGTTACGTCTATGATAGTGTGGTTTTTACTTTCTATAATCAATTCATTGGCGCAAAATTGGCATAAACGACTTTATAACGCAAAAAAAAAGATGCAGTGATGGCTTGCAGAAAATTTTGTCATTTAACTTTTTATTGGTTAATCTTCACTTACTCACTGGATTATTTATATCTCCATTTTAAATCAGCTATTTTAAATTAGCTTCTTTTGTTTTATTTATTAGTTGTTGATGTTTCTCCTTTTTTCGGATGTAAAAACATTCTTAAATATATGAAAAGGGTAAAAAAAATATGAATTTGTATGTTAAGAACTAGGGATATATTAAGTTGAGACCTGTGTTTCGCGCAAATTATCGTTTTTCTTTCGGAATTTAACAGTAAGAATCAGCATTCTTTGACTTTCTGGCTTTCGCTTAATACTTTTTTTCACAGAGTCTAGATTGTTTCTTTTGTGTTTGTTCTTGTTTAATTAGAATGATTTTGTTTTATTGACATCATTTTGAATGATCGGAGCCAAAGGAGGTTTTTATATTATAATTGAGTACTACAGTCAAAATTATAAGTGCTTCTACAAAAACCAGCTCAGTTAATATCCAATGATATTTTGTTATATGTTAGTGGATCGGAGCAATGACTTTTTTAGGTATGTGAATGCCATTATCATTTGATTCCATTTACTTTATGCTTCAAATGTCTGATCTTTTTCATACTAATGGATTTATTTGTTATTAGGAGAGTTATAAATGTTGCCTGGTAGATCTTCGAATCGATCATATCAGTAAATACGTTGTGGTACGGGAACGATATTTTCTTCAATCATTGAGAATGGCAAGTGTTTGCTACATGTGGTTTAGTTGCTTGCCATTAATTCAAAACATTATTCTCAATTTTTTTCTCTTAAAGGTGGTTTTAGATAATTCGAAATAAACAGATGTTTTCGATTTCTTTGGAGCCATTCATAAAACTAGAGATCGAGTGTTTTTCGTAATTTATGCACAAAAGGTTTTCAAGCTTAGTTCTCATCCACTCTCATTAAAGTAAACGAATTGATTGAATTCAAAAGGCAATGAATCCCTAAGTTGCTGCTGATTATAGTCATCAGGCTATTATTGTTTTTTTTTTTTTGCAAACGAAATACTGGCCAAATGGATAAAAGTATTAACAATGCCTAGAAGAAAGAACGAAAAGTTTATGAAAATGAAATACTTTTGAAGTACTCTCTGCTTCAAAACTTACCACAATGCAGACTGGTTAAATTAGGCATGAAAGCATCAAATGAAGAGAAATTCTTAGACTACCGTAAGCTAAATTGCCAGGAATGGCACTCATGAAATGTGGACTGGAAAGATCGTTGTAACTCCTTCAAGTAAATCATTCCTCCCATCATTTTCCCTTTTTCCTATACTTCTTCCTCCCATCATTTCAAACTAATATTGGTATTTTGTATTGCCTTGAATTTGTCATCTTCTCTCATGTTATGCGTCATTGAGTTTTGAAAAGTATAGTGTATCGCCCTTCAGATAAGGCTTATTGGGTAACCGAATCTTCCCTGTCATGCAGTCCAATACCACAATTACCTCTACTAATTTAACCAAAACTTATGCCTCAGGTATTTTTTTCTATTTTTTCATCCCAATGTTAAAGCAATGCATTATCAAGCATCTATGGAATATGGATATTCGAATTGTCCTATTATATTTTTTTGCAATTAGCATTCATATCCTGAAATCCATCTTCTTGGAATTGGATTTATAGTTTCCATTTTAGTGTGTTTTATTAAATGGAAACAAGTTCTTTGGTTTTACTCAGTCCACAACAGATTTTATTTTGAAAGGCTCCAGAAAAGCTGAGGAATAATTTTAAAAATTTCTAAAGTGCTTATTTTTTTACAAATGATGGTATTACTTGCTTGAAGCAAAGATTAGGCATTCATCCAAGTCCTTAGTTATATTTTGTGTTTGAAAATTCCAATTCAATTTTTTTCGTAGAACTATTACCGCACAATCCACGGAACTGGGATGGCACGAAAAAATTTCTGGAAGAAGTTGTCAAAATTCTTCTAGAATATATCAACGAAGAAAATCGGCGTGAAAATAAAGTGCTGGATTTCCATCATCCAGCCGAAATGCAAAACTTGATTGACTTAAGTATTCCGGATAATCCGTGTACTTTACAAGAGTTGCTTCAGGTGAACAATCGGGTTCCAAACAGATATAATGATTTTTTTCTTCATTAAAATGATGCAGACGAATAATTAAATGATAGAAAATCAGGTCTTTGCTGTTTGATCTTTTATTTCGCCGCAAAACAGGATGATTACAAGTTAGCATGAATTATAAGTTTTTTTTTTCTAGTTGTAAGTCAGCAATTTCTCAGGCAAACTGTTCCAATAATCATATGAAGAATTTCTGTGAGCTGAAGAATTTGTTAGGATTGTCGAGAAGTGTTGCGTCTGGGTGTTCGAACTGGACATCCGCGCTTCTTCAATCAGATATCATGCGGGCTTGATCTTATATCTATGGCTGGTGAATGGCTCACTGCCACTTCTAATACTAATATGTACGATTTCAGTGCACCTTTTATATATTTGACAAAAAAATAATCACCAAACAACATTATTACTAAAGATTTATATTATTCATTAAGTAAATTCAAAAATTTGTAGTTAGCAAGAGAGATTTTAAAAAGTAGAAGGTGGAAAAATCGATGGTTCTTATTTAAAGAAATTTCGTGAAATTTTATTTTGCTTTAAATGTTTGATGGCAAAAGTAAGAAGAACACATATTACTGTAAATGACTGCAACAATCTCTTTCTCTATTATCTGTTAAGTTTGCTGCAAATTAGTAGTAGTTGTTGACTTCAGAACTTACTTCACTTTACGTTATCTTGTTATTATTTCTCAACAAAATTAGTCTTATATGAAATTACTTAAATCTGGATACTGCAGTGTAAAGTCTTTGAAATATTTTCACAGGTTTACCTATGAAATTGCACCAGTGTTTACCTTAATGGAAAAGGAAGTGATGAAGAAAATGGTTGAATTGATCGGTTGGCAGAAGGGCGATGCCATTTTTGCTCCCGGTATATTATATTTATTTTTGAGAGTTTCTCAAAATTCTTTAATAAATGGCACCTTAATTTTTAAATAATGCAGTATTTTAATATTCTTCCTTGCACCCTTGTAAATTGAACTAATTAGAATCCGCGTTATTTTTTTTAATAAAAATTTCATGAAGTATCAAACTAAATACTTTCCAGCTATTTTTTTCTTATGAAATTTAGTGCAATTTTTCATATATAAGCAAAATCAAAACAAATAAAAAGCATCATACATCAGCTTGGAGGCAGCTTATGAGCTTATTGGCTTACAAATGTTTGTCCAAGAATTCCTCCATCAAAATTAAAAAACAAATTCCGCAATATGAAGAATGATGCATTTTTTTCTTATTTGCCCATCTTAAGTGACAAAACATGAAAAGTATTGATAAAATTTAATGAGATGTGAAATAAGCAATTTTCAAAACATTCTTATCTGTGCAATTTTTTCCTGATGAATCAAAGTGCATACTGTACCAGCAAATCAACTGATAAAAACATTAAGTGGAATTCGACAACAGGAATAAAAAAACTTCGTAATTACATTTCGAATAATTTTTTATATCTTAGTTGATGCCAGTTATCTGTGATAATTGATAATTTGTCATAATATCTTGAAGCAACTGAATATTCTAATCAATCAAAATTATTGAAAGGAGTGATAAGCAAAGAAAGATAAAATTTCTTTCTTAAATAAACAACAAACCATTTAGGAAAGGCTCAAAATGATGCATGTTATCGTGAATGTGCAACGGTTTTAGGTTATCTTCCCTGGAACATCCATATCCATATCGTGGATATCCTGATGAATCAAAGTGCATACTGTATCAGCAGATTTATGATAAGCATATCTGTAATTATTATCATTTATTTGAATAATACCACATCTATGAAAAAGTGTTATAGGTGGCGCTATTTCAAATCTTTATGCTATGAATGCCGCACGACATGCATGCTTTCCGAAATGTAAATTACTTGGACAAAGCGATCTACCAACTCTCTGCATCTTCACTTCCGAGGATGTAAACAATAAATCATTTCAACATTTCAAAATATGATAATAGCAACATTTAGTAAACAATGATAAATTTAACAAAACATTTGGAAGAAAAAGCATTTAAAAAAACTTAGACTTATTTCAGATGACTCATATATAGAATCTAATTTGCGGAATTAAACCTGTATGAAGAGAAGATTCTATTTGATATTTCATAATATTTTATAGAGTCATTATTCAATCAAGGGGGCAGCAGCTGTAATGGGTATTGGTGCCGATAACTGTTTCAGTATTTCGACTGATTTTTCCGGACGAATGATATCTGAAGCATTAGAACAACGCATTATAGAGTGTAAAAAATGTGGTAATTTAATAATTTATGTTATTTTAGTTATAAACATAATGGATATACGGCTAATATCATAATACTTGGCAATATATTTTCACTTAACATGAAACCATTTTTTCATACTTGATGTTTTTTTTTTTAACTTTTTAATTACAAACAAATGCAAATTAAATTCTCTAGGCATGAAACCATTTTTTGTCTGCGCAACAGCTGGAACAACAGTGTATGGTGCGTGGGATCCGATACCACAAATAGCAGATATATGCGATCGTCATGAATTATGGCTTCACGTCGACGTTTGATTTTTTTTAAACTTTACATGGCTTATCTAAAATTGTTCTTATTTTATATCATATTTTATTATTGATAATGCTATAGCCTAGCAAAACAATTCTGATTAAAAAATGGACATTTTCCAATATATATTTTGTTGGATTGTTCAGAATTTAAGCCTAAGGCTAAATCAGATATAAAACAGCACTTTCTCTCTTTCTTTATGTAAAAGATAAAAATGAGATCATAAAATTGTTTTTTAAACATTTAATATTGACTAGATTTGAAGCCTTCAATTAAAACAAAAGAAAATTTATAGGCAGCTTGGGGTGGTGGCCTATTGTTATCACCGGAATATCGTTATAAATTGTGCGGTATAGAAAGAGCTAATTCGGTCACATGGAATCCGCATAAATTGATGGGTGCATTGTTACAATGTAGCGCTTGTTTCATTAAGCAAGAAGTATGCATTGCGAAAATTCATATGTATATTATTATATTCATGTGTTTAAAATACAGAAATTCATTAGCTGTAGTATATAAGAAACTGTGATGAATATTTTCTTTCAACTGATTATTTTTTCATAGACTATCAGAGATTAAATATCTTTTTCATGCTATGATATTCTAAAATATTATTCAAAAAAAAGATCAAATTTAAATTAGCTTAAAAAATTTTGGGGTCTTTTGTTCCAAACAAACCAGATGTCAGCCGATTACTTATTTCAACAAGATAAGCCTTACGATGTTAATTTCGACACTGGTGATAAAGCGATGCAGTGCGGTCGACACAATGATATCTTCAAACTTTGGTTAATGTGGAGGTCAAAGGTACATACTTTTAAATAAGCAATAGATATATCAGAGAATACATGAATTGCATTAAAATTATACTAATGTATAACAGACGTAAAATGGATTTTTCTTTTCTGTTACCGTTATTCCTCTGAGTTTTATTTACATGTAGAGGTCAAAGGTACATAGAATTTTTTTAATATAAATGAATTATTAATTTATATCACTATCATTTAGCATAGGATAAACTTCAACAAACTTCAAATAATTCTTCAAAGAAAAATTTCAGCCTTTTATTGCATGGCAAAATTAAAATATAAACTAGCATTATTCTAGAACTCTCTCTTTAACAGTAAGATATTAATAGTGCAGTGATTTATAATATTATTTGATATATATTTCTCCGTAAACAGTGAAAATATCTGTAAATAGCAAAATTGATTGAGTGAAAATTTTCAATCTTCGAAAGGATGCTGTAAATGTTTTATTTATAAAAAAGAAATTTTTCAGCAAAAGCTAAAATGATAATGAAATGAGAATTTGTTTAACTAATCTGATGCATTTGTAGTATTATTTTGATACTCTTTCACTCACTTTAAGATATTGTATTAAATATACAACGAATAGCATTATATTAAACTTTCATGATACGTCAAATTTAGACGTTCCGGTTTTAATAGTTCCTTCATAAACATTCTTTAGGTTTTAATGTGTTACCAAAATGGAAGTGAAACTACCACAACTTACCATAATGAAAAAACCTGGATTGATGCATATCCGGGGTAATTGAGATTGCGAAAAATTTATATGTGTGTTAAAATGAAACAATCAGTATGAATAAATTCCATAACTATCTGTATTATACATAGAAAAATTTCCCTGCCAGACAATGAAAGGATATTTATAAGCTGAACTAAAAATTATTTGGAATTAAGGGTATGACAGGATATCGTCGACAAATTAATCGACTAATGGATCTGGCGGCATATTTTACAGCTCGAATTCGAGAAACTGAAGGTTATGAATTGGTTGTCGATCCGGTAAGTGACAATTATAGAAACTTTCAAAATCTATCATTTCAAAAAGTCAAATTGACACAATTTTTTGATGGATGAGCCTCTGAAAGGGATAGCAGTTGGTAGTACAGTGAACTTGTTTAGACTTACCAACTGTCCGTTAAATCATAGACCAAATCTTTCTCACATCTTTTTGATAACTAATGATAAGTTTAATCATTTTTCTCGTAGTAAAATATTTTGTTTCATTCAGCCGGAATTTTTGAATATCTGCTTTTGGTATATACCACCAAGTCTTCGGAATATGGAAAAAGCTGAACGAAATGCTCGACTGGAAAAAGTTTGTCTGCCTTACTGATATCTCCTTTTTTGTTTGTTTATTTAAATATTTTTTACTTAAACATTTCTTTAAATACAACTAAAATACTACTAATTTTTATACTGCAGCTAATACTACAGTATTCCACACATGACAGCTACTGGTCCATTCCTTCACTCCTTAAGTTATTTGATTTTTACAATTTCCTTTTTTGTTTCATAGAAAGCTTCTTTACTTGGCTAGTTACTGTTGATCGATTTGTCTATTCGATTTGCCTCTCAGCCTATGTTTGAACAAATCTCCACGAATATAACATCTCTTCGGATAAACCATCTAATTAAAATTGATGAATTTTCTGCTTGTAAAATTTCTGGTGAGAATTAATGAGATAATAGATATCAATATTAAACAAATTTTCCTCTATTCAACTGAGAATCATTCTAAATTTCAATCTTTTTTATCACTTTCGATATATTGAATCGTTTCTATTTCAGATAGCACCAAAAATTAAAGCAAAAATGATGGAACGTGGAACAACAATGGTTGGCTATCAACCAGATAAGCGTAGACCAAATTTCTTTCGAATGATTATTTCAAATCAAGCAATCACTAAAGAAGATCTTGATTTTCTAATTGAAGAGATCATATCTATTGGTAATGAAATTTAATTTTACTTAACTCATTCCCGCATATGTATTTTATCTCGAATTATTTCGAATCATTCATTTTCTTGTCCATTTTTAAAATTTATGTAATTTCAATATAGCTTTCACAAAAGTTGTAAACTTGAAATTTTTACCCATAATAATTGAATCCATCTCGAGAATTGGGTTTCAGAAGTGTTCCACTTAAATGGAATAATAGTAGTTGGCTGAATTAAAATTATTAAACAATAAATACTTTAATTTTCAAGATTGTAACATGAAATATAAGGAGTCAAAGAATTGTTGAATGAATTGTTTACGACTTTTCAACCAGTATATAAAATGCACTGCACATTGACCTTTGCTGCAGTCTTAACTAAAAAAAATTGCTAATGGCAGCTTTCTGGAGACTATCTGAAATTGAATTAAGAAATTAATTTTTAAAGGCAAACGATGATCTATAAGCGCAAATGAAATCGCTCATTTTGAACTATTGACTTTCGAAAGAAAGTATCAATTTGCTCGCATATCACATTGAGCTATCTCAGATTATTTTTGTCCCACATTTTCTTATTCTCAGCAAACGTTCTACGACATTTGTTTATTGCAATTCTTTATTGCTTTCGCCTTTCTAATCGATCCGATTACAACTTAAAGAAATAAAAAATTTTTTTGAAAGCTAAAAACAATCTTAACAAAACTGATCGCCAATGCATTAAGCAACTACTCATTCGACAGATATCGTACGCAATTTGAAATTATACGATCAGTTCAGTTCTTGTTAATTTAAAACTGTTCAAGTCCTTCAATCATTTTAATGCAACCTTTTTTAAGAGTCGAAGAAACTAATAACCATCAAGCCGTAGTAAATTTGATAAAACAGGTTCCTAAAATTCTTCAACATTTCATAAATGTAATATTTATAAAGATTTTCACAAAAAAAAAATCAGGAAGTTTCTACTTTTTTAAACAGACAGTTTGGATTTTCGACGAAATCTTCATCAATGTGAGGAGCAATCTTCTATTACAGAATATTCGATGAAATCAAAAGAATAAATGGCAAGAAGTGAATGAGATCATATCAGACATATTTTAACTAGTCGAACGATTGAATACAAATACCACTGCTAAAATTATTTATATGTGAATTATCATTAAAACAAAATTATGGCAGTAAAATTAAGAGCTAAAGGTCAATAAAGTTCTGAATTTTTTAGCTTACTTTCTTAGTAGTAACCAAGTTACTACAACCGTGATATTTATCTAAGTGTTATGCCTGGATCTTTTGAAAGCTTAAATTTTAAACGAATATAATTTCCTTTCACTTTTCTGAATTTTTATCTCTCAAATAACATGTTTTGAAATAATTATCCCATCTAAGAGGTCCCGGAACTATTGACTAATATTCATAGTTAAGCAAAAAAGTAGAAGCAATTCAACTTATAAAAGTAAGGCAAATGAAATTGGCAGCAAAATTGATAACAATTTGTGGCGAAAAATAATGGAACCCGAAAAAGTAATATTGGCTGTGCGACAGCAAAATTTAGAATTAGCATTAAGCAACTGATTATGTCGCAATCTATCCCAGGAACGATCAGAACGGTAAGTAAAAATTGATGATCGTTGATTATCCGATTTTTCCGTACCGCTCATCGTCCATAATCGGATGAATCGTTGTGCTGCTGTAGAGAGCATTGTATAAGTACGACAACCGGCATAAGCATTCATTCCGATTAAACTACATACTGGTTCCTGAAAATATTGCAAATAATATTTTCAATTTTACAAATAACATTTTCAAATTACAAATAATATTTTCAAAAACAAAGAAATTAAAAGATTTCTCGGTCTAATTTCTTATTAGAAAAAATTTAGCATTTTTTATAGAATGCAAGTTTGCATTTGTAGCAATCTGCAAGAAATAAAAGTTTTTCTTGTGTTGTTTAGTAAATTTTTAAAAACCAAACGGATAGATTCGCTAATGTGGGAGATTTAAGAGAAATAAACAAACAGAAAGAAGGGCGCAAAATGATTTTGTTCTGATCTCTCACGATCATAATTAGAAGTGATCAATCACAAGAGATCGGAGAAAAAAGAAATCTCTCCAAGATTATCACAAAAAAGTTTAAGTGAACATTTGATGTATGTATTTACGAGAGAATGTATAAATAACATACTTGCTTAGTTGTAAAGTAAATAATAAATATCGTAAATTCTCTAAAATCGTATTATATGACCAAGCGCAAATAATCAAAGATGGAGCCAAATGTTATCAAGGTAAAAGTAACTGAGAAGGTAAAAACCATAAAAAAGATGGGTAATTAAAAGACTATTGATTGAAATAACATGATAAGCGCTTTAATGTATTTAAAACAAGAAACCAATTTTTGAATCACATTCTCAAGTTTCCGAGTATTACTACCATCTCATGTCTCAGAATATTATTACCACCTCAAATCTACCACTTCGACTACCAGCTCAAATCTTGGGAGTATTGAAAAATCGTTTTGCTAATTATATTTACTTTTTTGATTTATTGAACATAAAATTTATTAATTTTATAACACTAACAATCTTACCTCCACACACTGACAACTTTTTACAGTTCGATCGATTTTTAGTTTGCTATCCCAAAATCGAACATATAGTCCCTCGCAAGTACCACGACATGAATATGGATTACAATCACCGGGAATATCAGTCTGACATTGTTCAGTATCTAATGGCCGGGGTTGTGATTGTAATCTGATGGAGCTAGACTGTGATGTAGCTGATGTTATCAGAAGTAAATTGAGAAGTTCTAGCCAAATTGGTGATAGCACTATTAGTGGGAGTACAGGAGGTCGAGAAATGGAACGGTTGAAAAAGATATTGCAGCAGCGGCGGAACAGCCGTGCAATTCCAGCTGACTTCAACATGGCAAATGGCTGAGAAGCTGAAAACTTGCAAGCTTGACGCCATTCAGTAAAGCTAAAGAATAATATTTTTAGATATCAAAATAATTGGCGGTATCCGCTTCGGACAGCGCCATAGCTATTGCACTTACGCCATCTTTAATTTGCTACCAATTTGTAGGACTATTTGAATTGAAATGCTGAATAACATTTAACCTGTCACTTATTTCACTATCACATATCTTTCATTCATTCATTCATACATATGCTCTTAATGTTGAAATAAATTTGTCATAATCCTTGTCCTTATGGCGATATGCACAGACGAGTGGTTTGGATGCGGATTTTTTTTTAAGATTCTGAATTCCGGTTCTTTTCAAGGTTCTGTGTTCCGTTTATTTCAAGATCCTGCAGGCGAAGAGTATATAGGTCGCTCTCGAATAAAACACAAAAAAATATGCTCTACAACCATGTACTTTAGAAAAGATTCGAAATTCAGGGATTATTGATAAAGATGCTGACCTATGACCCCATAAGAAATGTCATAGCCATCGAAAAATTATGAAGTTTAAGTAACTGCTGCGACATGATAAAGATCGAAAATCCCTCACATATCTCACTAGGATTCCATTCACAACAACAACTTATTTGAAAGTCAACGAAGGTTTGAAGATCAATTTGAAGGTTACTGCACTTCATCGTACCATGAGAAGAAAAAACTGAAGTGATCGGAATATGAGAGAGCGTAGCTACCAGCACATTAAACCATAATTAACCGAGATGTCATTCGAAAGTTAAAAACAATTTCATTTTGCTACCTAGTGTAGAGGCTATAACTAGATATAGCGTAGCTAATTAGTACTTTATATAAATTTACATCGCTGAATATTAAACCTTGTCTAATAGTAATAATAAAATCTGGAAATCTAAGTAATTCAAATTCAAAAAATATTACTATCCGAAAATTTTCCATGTGAAATTGTGAGATAATCTTTAAGAAATTTACATTTATATCATTTTCACTTTTCTTCTTCCATTTCCAATGATTAACTATTCAACATTAAACAAAAACACACAAGTAGATATATTTGTTATATATTTATTTCCTATATCAGTTTTATTCTTTAAAAATAATTCCTGCCAGATATCTCTTTACATTCAAGAGTAATAAAATTTCTAATTCTCTAAAACAAACAAACATAAATGATTGTGCTATGAGAGTTAGCATCATCTCATCTCATATCATCTTTCAATAAAACGTGGTCAACAATATTCAACAAAGAATTTCGATGCATATATGAGTAGCCCACAGCTAAAATTAAATAGAAAAGTTCGGCAGAAGAGAAAATAAGTTTTTGATGATAAGCATCTAAGACAAAAACGATTTTATTCGAAGCAAATCATTGATGTGGATTTAAAATTCGCTATTATTGGACGCCAGCTTCAGGTAATAACAATATGCTGTTTTGGATAAATAAATAGCTGAGAAAAACACTAAGCATTAGACTAAAATGAATAAAACGACTCTGTATAATTACAATGTAACATTTGCAAAGACGGATCAGGTTAATTTTTTACGTTTTTTTTTACGCATTGTTTTTCTCTTACGCCAATCCTTTTTATTTTAAAATTGATCCACAAAGCAACATAAGTTATCATAATACCGTCAAATGTGAACATAATTTATTTGCACGATTTTAGTTAGCTAAGAATGCTCAAATCTAAGTAAAAAGACACTATGAGAAAAACCGTTTTCACAGTTTTTCCTGAGATCGTCGTTATCGATAAGTTTCTCGACGCTTTTCGTCTCCTTTTTTTATAAAATATCTAAAATGAAATGAATAGAGAGCAGTTAAAAGCCGAAAAATTATTCATCAAAAACAATCTGCGAAAAGAATAGCAAATGAAATATTTGCTTCAAAATTTTCGATGGGAGCCAACGCAAAATATACCAATATAGGAGCCAATGCAAAATCATTTATACATAAAATAAGGACTAGCTTATAAATAAGAATTGCGTAAGATACTAGCTTACCTATCAAGCATTTCAAGAAATGCTTGTCTAATGACTACTTACAATATGAATAGTTTCAACAAGTACATGTAAACAATAAATAATTTATTTGCTTATTATAAACGTATCTATATTAATATAGCAGAAAATTTACGAGTTAACCTTAATAATATGGTTGCCAGTTAGATCCATCCGCAGGCAATAAACTTCCTGTGATCAGCAAAAATATATCAACAATCCACCATAATCCCAAACCACCAAGTGTCATCAATTTACCAACTGCTATAGCTGAATAGCCAAGACAGAAACGATCTACTGCCAAAATCCCCAAGAATATTGAGTATAGCAGCGTTGAGAGAAAATAATGACCCGTATATCTGCAAAGAAATATAGATACAAACAATAGCGATGACGGAAAAAAGTTCTATATAGCGGAATTTCAAAATTAATGTTAATGTATAATAATCACCATGCCAGATATTTCGTAAATACATCGCTGGCAAAGAAGGGATTTTAAAATTTTTTCGGAAGGAAAATTAAGATAAGGTAAGAGCTAAAAATAAGTAAATTAGCCATCTTCGAAAACATGAAATAGGATAAAGCATACTTGATGCAGGGTACTTTTCTCAAGAAAGTACGTGGACCACGACATTCGATGCATGGCAGAACTCGGCAGGTCACATTTGTTTGCTCCACGTCTTCATAACGTGTGCCACCCCATGTGAGGCATACACCATCCACCTGGGAAATATAATAATGATAGTGAATGTAATAATAGTGAATTATATATTATATGTATGTCATTTAACAAATCAAATCCTTGGAAAAGATTGAAGATCTACCTTTGTATTGTTAGCTTCAGGAACTGATGATACATCCATTGGCGCATCGCAATCAATCCACCTAAAAACAATGCCACTTTTACTTTTACACTTTTACATGGGTCTGCTGTCTAAAAAAATTATTGCTTCTTTTCTCCTTCTACAAATAATAGCCCAGGTCTAAATCTCGCATTACTCTGCATCGAAAAACTGAGCTTTCATGGTATGAAAACTTATTGCTCAATTATGATTCAAACACAACAAACCTTTCGTCAAGAAAACTGCATGGTACAAGTGGACCAGTTGGATTTAGATCAAAACCTTCTAATTCACAAATACCAAAACCGTCATTATCCGGCAGAAGTGGTGTTGAAATGACAGCAGCAATAACAATATTCCCATGTCTCTGTCCTTTGGGGATTGAAACCGGATTCGTCTGAATTGTAAAAATGGGCAACACACTGATTAGTAACGTCACCAGAACACCATCAACATACATCCTAAAATTTTACCATTAAATACTACAGCAGTCAAAATTACATACGGTGCGCCAAAATGCAAAAACATAAATGCACAATCAAGCGAAATAGAGTAAATTACAGATATACCCAAACGTTAAATTACCATTATCTTATGAAAACATTAGATTTCCATTTATCTAAATGCATTATCTATAAGATCTCACTGATTCAAAAATATGTAAGCTTATGTAAAATAATGCTTTACATCTTTATCCTTAAGCTCATCAGTCAGAAAAAATCCAAATTCCAACTATTATTTGATAAGTGATAAAGCTTAAGATTCTAAATTATTTCATATTTCTCACGATAACATATACCTTAGAAAATCTACTCTATTTCACTATTCCGATAATTGTCAACATTTTGGGAAT